AACGAGAGAATGGACAAGTTCAGGAGCTATGCCCGGGTGTAATTGGCAGGATGTGAAGGCTATTGGCGGGGGAAGCAGGGTTCCAGGATGAGCTCAGATGGGCATCCAGGTGAAGTGGGCTGGGAGCCCAGCGTGGCTGTTTTTGTGCACTTAGGGCTGGAGGGTGGGAGAGGTCCCTTCGAAGCTGCTTTTCTGGTGTGATCCAGAAAAGCTGAAGAGCTCAGAGAGGGCGATGTCCTCAGAGGAGGCTCAGGATGGGGTTGGGGTGAGCTTTGGATGAGCTTTCAAGCCTTAAAGAGGCGGTGCTTGAGGCTGGGCATGGTGGTTCACACCTGTAATCCCAGCACTTTGGGAGGCCAAGGCAGGCAGAACACCTGAGCTCAGGAGTTCAAGAACAGCCTGACCAACGTGAAGAAATCCCATCTCTATGAAAAACACAAAATTAGCCAGACATGGTGGCACATGCCTGTAATCCCAGCTACTCTGAAGGCTGAGGCAGGAGAATCGCTTGAACCTGGGAAGTAGAGGTTGCGGTGAGCCGAGTTCATGCCACTGCACTCCAGCCTGGGCAACAAGAGCGAGACTGCGTCTAAAAAAAAAGGGGGGGGGCGCTTGAAACTGAGGGAGGACCAAAGTCCTTGAGAGACCCCCCTATTGCCCTGCTTCCCTTCCAGCCCAGCTGAGAGCATGGCACAGCTGAGTGAACATTTGCAGAAAGGAAGGGACAGGAAGGAAAGGAGAGGAGAGAGGCTTTAGCAGTTACTTCCGATCGGGGCATGAGCTATGAGGTGCCCTAGCAGGTGCAGCTCCTCTCGGCAGGCCCACGGGAAGGCCTCGGTGTCTGAGAGCCTCACCTTCTACTCGCTGAGCACCTTGGGGCTGCCTCCTGTCCCTTGGAGGGAGGGATCTAGGATGGGGAGAATCCCAGTTGCAGGTGCTGTAACAGCAAATTGAAGCCTCAGTTTCTAGTTTCAAGGTGAAAATAGAAGCAGGTTTTGTGCATTTGAAACGAACCTTTCCCAGAGTCAAAGGTTTAGAGGGGAATGGGGCCAGGACAGTTTCAGAGCAGCTTCCCAGGCACAGGGACCTGGGGGCTGGGAAGGGAAGCAAGTGGTTTCTGAGCAAGAAGGGAGCCAAGGGCCACCATCCTCGCCCACCCAGATGGGGCCAGCACACGCCTGTGGCAGAACCGAGGCTGGTCAGCCCTCTCAGGAACTGGGGCATCCTCAGGCAACTGGGTACCAAGGATGCCTGGAAACGGGCTTGCCTTCTGTGGTCAAGGGAAGCACACATCCTTCAGGAGGGCTCAGCAGATGCAACAGCTGCTACGGGGCCAGGCAGGGTGGCTCATGGCTCTGGGTGTCCCAGAGAGTTAGGCAGTGTGCCCTTTCTATTCATGGGGCCAGCTGGGTGGAGACCTGCCTCACTTTCGATGAAAACGTTTGGGCAGCTCTGCCAGGCACCAGTGACCCTCTGTCCCCACCAATCCTCTACAATTATATTGCTAAAGACCAGTCCCAATCTTGCACCATACCAAACACATCATTGGGAACTAAGTTCAAAGCACCATGTCACAACCGACACCGTGTCCACCAGCTTTTCAGATGAAGTTTCTACCAGTGACAGGACAGCTGGATGCCTCCAGAAAGGGTCTCATGACATCTGGGCAATTGTGTTGGAGGGCCTGGGTCTCTGAAAGCCCCCTCCCATTTGAGGCCTGCTCACCCTCAAAGGAGCATCCCGAACAGTCCAGTGTAACAGCCTGGGTCTCAGGATTCTAAGCTCAGGGCTATCTTCCAAAGCGGGACCTCGGGCAAGTCACTGAGCTCTCTCATCTGCCAAATGAGTAAAAATCCCTGGGTCCACTGTCTTCCAGGGCTGTGAAGAGAATCAAATGAGCTCATAGATGAGAAAACCAATCTGGAAGTTAAAAAGATCTTTCCACAACTCCTCCGCCTGAGCTGACCCTGAAATCTCTGAAGGCTATAACATTCATTTCCTGTCTGGAGCTGGTTATGTGGCCTTCCTGGGCTCCTCTGAAAAAGCAAATGACGGCCAGGCACGGTGGCTCATGTCTAACCCCCACACTTTGGGAGGCCGAGGCTGGCTGAATCATGAGGTCAGGAGATCAAGACCATCCTGGCTAACACCGTAAAACCCCATCTCTACTAAAAATACACAAAATTAGCTGGGGGTGGTGGCATGGGCCTGTAATCCCAGCTACTCGGGAGGTTGAGGCAGGAAAATCGCTTGAACCCAGGAGGCAGAAGGTGGAGTGAGCTGAGATTGTGCCATTGCACTCCAGCCTGGGCAACAGAGTGAGACTCTGTTTAAAAAAAAAAAAAGCCAATGACGCTGCAGCCAGAGATGAGAAGGAACAGCCCCGTTTCAGCCCAGGTAGGCAGCCTACATGTTCCTCCGCTCACCACCTCCCACTGAGGGTCATTCGACTTTCCATCAGCAGCAGCTGATGACGTGAGGAGACACGACCCTGACGGGGCCCATTCCTGCCTCTTCCCTTGTGGCCTCACTCGTAGTCGGAGGGAGGGCCTCATGAGTCTCAGGGAAGCCGCTGGGCTGTAAAACAACGAGACGATTCCTTGGCAGGAAGTGGATGCTGTCCCCGAGGATGCAGACTTTTCCCTCATTGACCATCCCATGAAGATCCTGTCTTTACTGGAAGCGTGGGAGGAGGCAGACACCTGTTGAGCTGGGCTTTTCTAGAGAGGCATCTGAGCTGAGGCCAGCCCCGTCAGGCTGTATTTATTATTTCCTGCAGGGCCTCGTTTGACAGATGTCTGCAGAGCGCAGACTGAGGAGCAAGCATCACTCCGTGCTGGACTGCATTAGCCCAGAAGGGCCCAAGGGCCCAGCCTGTCTGACTCCAGATTCACATAGCTTCCTTGGCCATCATCTTCGCAGGCTGGCCCCAGCCAGGGTCCCCTTTCCCAGCATCAGTCGTTCCCAGGTATGTGCTGCTGGGTCACCCTAAGGGCCCAGACAAGGGCTGGCCTTCCAGCCTTGCTTGCATCCAGTGTGCGTGGGTCCTATAGGCCATGGGACGCTGTGGTTCTGAAGGCTCCAGCCTGTGTTGTCCTGGAGGCGGGTCACCTCTTCAGCAGCCCCCACTCAGTCTTCCTCCCTGATAAGACTCGGTTTTGCTGTTGTCCACACTCACTCCATGACTCAAGGGTAAACCCTAATTATTCTAAGACGAGCATGGCTCTTCGTCAGTGATTGGTCTAGAGGTGGGCCTGTGATACAATTCTGGCCAATAAGATGTGAGGGGAAGCATGCTTTGGGAAAGGTTTCTCACTGATAAAAAAAAAAAAAAAAGACACATAGGGAGAGGTGCTCTTCTATGGTGTCATTTGTGTGTGATGCTTGGAACACTGGCAGCCATATCGAGACCGTGAAGGGTGTGAGTCAGGACAAAGCGAACACACTGAGTGGGGAACAGAGTTGAATCATGGAAAGGGCCTGGCCCACCATAACGTCACTGAATTGCTAAATTAGTCAACCCCGGTGCTCCCTTCCTCAGGAGTTCCTGTCATGTGACATTATCCTTGGTGCCGTTGGAGTTGAGTTTTCTGCTCTGTGCAGTGGAAGCACCCACACTGATTCAATCCCTGCCCCCACCTGCTCGCAGCCCCTTTCCTCCTCTTTAGGAGCCACAGAGATCAGTCAAGCAGCCTCACACTCCATTGAAAACAGCAACAATCCAAGCTAAAGTCACCAAAGTACTGTGGTTACATTGCGTGGAATTGCCCCAAAGCTGTGTGGCTTGGTGATTTGGATACTGGTAGCCTGGAGCCCCTGCAGCCCCCGAGGCCTTCTCCAGAGGGAGGGAGGGCCTCAGGATCCTCCCACTCCCCGGCCACCCCACTGTTTTCCACCCCCAGCCAGGAGTGAGAGCTGGGGGAGCCTCACACTCATCCCCCCCTGGGTGTCAGGGTCCTCCCTCTGTACTTGGCTCAACTGTGAGCCTCCCTGCTCCAAGGGCTTCTGCCTTCCGAGGGGCCTTGCAGCTGTTGCTCACCGCCCCCACTCCCCCTCCCTGCGGACCAGGGCTTTTCTGTCTCTGCCGCAGCAAGCAAGTGCGCCTGTCTCCCCACCATTCAGCCAGAGGTTGGATTCACCCAGGATCTCCTCCAACCAGGAAACAAGCAAGGCTTCTGGGAGCAGCAGGGGTCATGGTCTCAGGAAGCCTCAGGGAGGGCGGACTGTGGAGCCAGCCTCTGCGGCTCCAGCTCCCAGCAGCTCCCTCAGGGGCTGGAGTGCTAGGGGGCAGCTTAGAAGCAAGGAAGAAGGCTGTGGTCAGGGCTGAGGTTCTGGTGGGGGACAAGCCAGCAACAGGGGTGACCCCTGCACTGGGAGTTCCTTGGGGCTGGGAACCCCGTCCTTCTTTCCATGCTGACCCATGTCTGGCATGGTCAGTGAGTGCTTAGGACGTGTGTCCCATGGGTCTAACCACTCATTCATCCAACATGCCGGACATGAAACTGCAGTTGTGATCTCTTGTGTCCAGAGCTGGGGCCCTTCCCACCCCCCGCCTGCTTCCCTCTCCCACCTGCCTCTGCCCCTGGAGGCCCTGCCGCCCACCTCACTCCTGAGTGTGCCCTTCTACATGGTTCCTCCTGATGGGGGAAAGATGGCGGACCCCAGGCCTGGGACAGCACCTGTTCCCTCCAGGGGAGGCGGGACTGAGGGAACTGGGCCTGGGACCTCCCCTGCTCCCCCACCATTCCTTGGCACCTGTCGGCTGTCTTTGCTTGCTGGTGTCCCTGGCGTCCTGAGGCTCCCTGGGCTCCCTGACCCAGGCACCTGGCCTGGGTCTCTACTCACAAGGCTCCCTGGCCCAGGTTCCCCAAGAATGGGCTGACCTGTTTGCTTCTGCCGAGGGCTCCACAAGGACTGAAAAGGTGAGTCTGGGAGGCTTCAATGGACACCTCTTAAGAAAACAGTCAATAAAGAAACAAAAGTTGCCGGGTGGCTCACACCTGTAATCCCAGCATTTTGGGAGGCCGAGTCCAGTGGATCACCAGGTCCCGGAGATCGAGACCATCCTGGCCAACATGGTGAAACCCCGTCTCTACTAAAAATACAAAAATTAGCCTGGTGTAGTGGCGTGTGCCTGTAATCCCAGCTACTCAGGAGTTTGAGGCAGAAGAATGGCTTGAACCAGGGAGTCAGAGGCTGCAGTGAGCTGAAATCACGCCACTGTACTCCAGCCTGGCAAGAGAACAAGAAAAAAGGAAGGAAGGAAGGAAGGGAGGGAGGGAGGGAGGGAGGGAGGAAGGTAGGTAGGGAGGTAGGGAGGGAGGGAGGAAGGAAGGAAAGAGGGGAGGGAGGGAGGAAGGAAGGAAGGAGGGGAGGGAGGGAGGAAGGAAGGAAAGAGGGGAGGGAGGGAGGAAGGTAGGAAGGTAGGGAGGGAGGGAGGGAGGAAGGAAGGAGGGGAGGGAGGAAGGAAGGAAGGTAGGTGCCAGGCATGGTGGCTCATACTTGTAATCCTAGCACTTTAAGAGGCCAGAGCAGGTGGACTGGCTGAGCTCAGGAGTTTGAGATCAGACTGGGCAACATGGTGAAACCCTGTCTCTACTAAAATACAAAAAAATTAGCTGGGCATGTGGCATATCCCTATAATCCCAGTTACTTGGGAGGCTGAAGCAGGAGAATTGCTTGAACCCGGGAGGCAAATGTTGCATTGAGCTGAGATCTTGCCATTTCACTCCAGCCTGGGTGATAAGCAAGACTCCATCTCAAAAAAAGAAAAGAAAAGAAAAAGAAGAAAAAAGAAATGAAAGGGACACAGGGGAGAGGGCAGGGCCCCTGTCTAGGACCTCAGCCCTCAGGTCCGGACAAGCTTGGACACCTTCCCCCGACCCTCTGAGCTCTGCCCATGGGGTGGGGCCGTGATGCCTCAAGGCAGAGTGGCTGGGAGGCCTAGCTGAGCTGTGCAGGATGCATGGTGAGGAGCTGGTACAGCTGCCTCTGGTCTGTCTGCAGGGCTGTCGCTATGAGGGGGACCACACGATCAGAAGAGAGGGCTGTGGATGGACCCCAGCATGGGCATTCAGCTGCACAATTGCAGGCAAGCCAGGGAGCCACTCTGAGCCTCAGTTTTTTCACCTGTAAAATCTGAATAACAGCAACTCTGTGATGGGACAGTGGACAACAGTGAGCTAAGCCCTGGGTAACCTGCGTGAGCTGAGTCTGACACTTGGTGGTGCATGTACCACTTTCCACCTCTTCTCCTCCTTCCTGAGCTTGAATTCAATGCATTGCCCACCCTCGCTGAAATTCCAAAAGAGAACCATGGCACTTTTCCGCGTCCTCCCGCTCTGTGCCCTGGCTGCCCCTCAGGGTTCAGCTCAAGCGTCCATCTTGGGGCCAGCCCTGCCACGCCCTCCGTCCCTTTGCTTGGCTCTGGGCTCTTCACCCTGGGCCAGCTCCACACGCCTCCTGGACTGCCTCAAGGTGTTGGTGACAACTCTATTTGGCTGATGCGCAGTCACGGTCTCCCCTGTAACGGGAACAGTGCAGGCTGGTGCCCAGCCTTCTCTGGCTCAGCCTGCTCCTGTCTGGGAGGGGCACACTTGCTGCCCCTCTGCATGGCTCATGTGGTGGCCGGGAAATGGCCTTCTCCAGAGACTGGGAGGGAAACACGCACTCCTGACCTCCTAACACAGGGCTCACAGCCTCGGTCCTGGTGGGTGGCAGGGAGGAAAGAGGCCACCTGCAGTGGGTGGGTCCTGGGGAAAGTGTGACCTGGTGCTAGAGGATGAGGGTAGAGATGGCCTTTGGAACATGAGGACATCTCTGTCCTCAGGCCCTGCTTGCTAGGGTTGCTGTGGGTGGGGTGGTCTGCTACTCAAAACTGAAAGCTCTCGTGACAGGCTTCACAATGGACAGCCTGACCCCATCTCCTCCCTCATGCCCTGTAGTGGCAGCAGTGCAGCTGTTGCCCCTTGTAGTGTCGAGTTGGATAAGGGGGCACATTCTGTGTGTCCCTTTCTGGTGGCATGAGACCCAGGCAGCAGACCTGGGTGCCTGTCCAGGCTCCACCTCTCCTGGCCACGTGGCCATGGGCAGGTTACTGAACCTCACACCATCACCCCCGAATCAGGAGCGCGTGGTCTGGGGCACAGGCGTGTGAGTGCAGCAGATCATCAGGTGTGCCAGAGGCAAGCGACAGGCCCACATCCCGCCCTGGCTGGATGGCTGTGTCCTTGTCAGGCTCCGCAAGCAGCAGCCTCTGCCCACCTGGAGAGCCGCCAGGGATCAATGGCTGCCATAGGTCAGCAAGGAACCCCACACCCCTTCCACAGACAGGTTCGTCGCCAGGCACAGGAAGCACAGCAGGGAGAACCCAGAAGATGATGTATGTTGAGTAAACAGTGAGCTCAGAGGGACAGACCCAGGGGCATTTTCAGCCTTGCCCTGTTTGGCCCCAGCTGCCCTTGACACTTTTATCCCTCTTTTATCTGTTCCTTCTTGCTTGTTAAAGATCTTCTTGTTCCTAGAATTCAGAGGTCTCATCCCTCCTGCTTCTCTTTTCCCACCCTTCAGCCTCTTTCCTGGGGGCCTCAGACCCTGACTGTTCCTTGATGCTATTTATTGTTCCCTGATTCTGTCATCGGCCCCATCTGTCTCCCCTCCTCTCCCCTCCCTTCCACTTCCCTCTCCTCTTGTCTCCTTCCCTTCCTTCTTTTCTCACCTCCTCTCCCCCAACTCCCCTGCTGCCTCACTCTCTGCCCTCTCACTGCTGAGCTTATACCTGCTGGATGAACTGTGTGTGTGTGTGTGTGTGTGTGTGTGTGTGTGTGTGTGTGTGCAGGTGCCGCTGGATGAATTGACCTGAGGAGGGAGGTGGGGTGGTGGGCAGGGATGCTATTCAGAGCAGTTGACCTTGCTGCCATTTGGAGATGGATTGGAGGGACCAGGCTGGGGGGAGTGGCTGACGTTTCAGCAGATTTCAGCATCCAGGAGAGATAGCTGTCCAGGGGTAGAACCCATGTCCTCAGTGGCCCACAGGCAGGTGAGGGGGAGGGGGCAGGCAAGAGTCAAGCAGGGCCCCTGGTGTGCAGAGGAGAAGCAGAAGACTCAGGGGAGGGAAGGAGCTCACTTTGGGACGTGTTGGAGTGAGGCTCTGATGGGGTGCCTGGGGGTGCAGGAGTTGGGGGTCGCTGGAGGCCAGGACAGGGCTTGAACTGGAGTTAAACTGGGTCACTCTCAAATGTACATGGAGGGCCAACTGCCTCCCAGGCGCTGTGCTGGCTACACCACTGTGCATGCACACAGATACACACACACACACACACACACACAATGCACCAAAGTCCATCCTCTAAAGCTTCCAGTCAGATTCGGAATAAAGTGGCACCCTCCCCTGTGGCCTCCAAGGCCTGTGATCTGGGCTACACTCCTCACCTTGAGCTGAGGGCTGCCTTGCGGTTCCAGCCCCCCCCAGGCCCTGGCCCTGCTGTCCCTCTGTCTGTGGCACTGCCACCCTGGCGGCGGTGGGGCTCGCTTCTGGACTCTGTTAGCATCCCTGGCTCAGACTGTCTTCTCCGAGAGGACTTTCCTGACCATGTCATTGTAAATATGGCCCTGCGTGATGCCGTCCATCCTAAGATCTGTGCATTTTCCTCATGCCGCCTAAAATTGCACTCACTGCGGATGTTAATCCACTGAGACTGGGTAATTTATAAAGAAAAGAGGCTTATTTGGCTCACAGTTCTGCAGGCTGTACCAGCACGACACCAGCAACTGCTCAGCTTCTGGCGAGGCCTCTGGAAGCTTTTACTCACGGTGGAAGGCAAAGGGGGAAGACGTGTGTCACATGGCAAGAGAGGGAGCGAGGAAAAGAGGGACGCGTGCCAGGCTCTTTTAAGCAATCAGCTCTCGAGTGAGTCTCTCACCACTCCTCGCCAAGGGGCGGGGCTGACCCATTCATGAGGGACCCACCCCCATACTCAACACCCTCCTCTAGACCCACTCCTAACACTGGGGCTCACATTTCAACAGGAGATTAGGAGGGGACACACATCCAAGCCACAGCACCGTGTTTGTTCACTCTCTGTCTCCACCATGGAATACACCCTTCCCAGGACAAGGGCATGATCTATTTGAAGCAGGATCATCAGTGTTTGGTGCCTAATAAAGGTTCAAAACATGCTTGTAGAGTGACTGAATGAGGGACCAAGGGACGGGGAAGGTAGGATGCGTCGGAGCATCTGCGTATCCCGAGCCAGGACTGGGTTTCACAAGAAAGGGAGTGTCATCCTGCCAAATCCATTTCAGATGGATGAAGGCTCTAACACCACAATATCAAAAGAGAGGAGCATATTTTCATGATCTTGGAGGAGGGAAGACCTTCCTAAGCAAGACACGAAATCCAGAAGCTATAAAACAAAAGCCTGACAGATTTGACTACATAAAAATCAAAAGCTTCTGGCCGGGCGTGGTGGCCCATGCCCATAATCCCAGCACTCTGGGAGGCCGAGGCAGGCGGATCATTTGAGCTCAGAAGTTTGAGACCAGCCTGGGTAATATGGCGAAACCCTGTCTCTACCAAGAATATAAAACAATCAGCTGGGCAGAGTGGTGTGTGCCTGTGATCTCAGCTACATGGGAGGCTGAGATGGGAGGATCGCTTAAGCCCAGGAGGTGGAAGTTGCAGTGAGCCAAGATCACGCCATTGCACTCCAGCCTGGGTGGCAGAGTAAGACCCCATCTCAAAAAATAATAAGTAAACAAATAGCTTCTGCGTGGCCAATTACACGATAAAGTTAAAAGACATCTGATGGACTGGGAGAAAAGACTGCAACATGTACAACGGACTGATAGCATAACACAGAATGAGGTCCTGTGAGCCAGCAGTGAAAACTCATAACCCAGTAGAAAAAGACAGGCAAAGGAGAGAGATGGGCAGCTTGTACGGTAAGAAACACTCACAGCCAGAGAATGACTGAGTAGACGCTTAACCTCCCCAGTCACCTGGGCCATCAAAATCAAACAGCAAGAACACATGGGGACAAAATGGGAAGGAATCACAGTGCTGCACTGGCCAGGAGGGGGTGCTCCCAGGATCTCCTGCGCCAAGTCAGAGTGTGGTCCCCGTGGAGGTTGCGAGGTGCCTGGGAAACTTAGCGATAT